TTTGTCAACCAATTTCAATGATTCTTTTTTGTTGGAAATGGAGTACCTTAATAGTGGTCCCATTCAAATTTGAAAAAAATATTCAACCTCTTAAGGAGGTAAATTAGGAAATGTATTTGGTTTATATTTCGAATAAAACTTGGCAAATAGATATAATTCCAATAAAAATAACGGTAACGAAGACAGCGAAAGTGGATGGATAATCCAACTTTTGAGGTCTGTTTCTTTATAAAAAAAGTTTTAATTATTAACTTATTTTTTGTCTCTGATTGAACTATATAATATACAAATAAATGCACGAATGTCTCTACATAACAATTATGAAAACTTTGTATACCACAAAGCCGATCACAATGATTCAAAATGCATTCTTGCAATGCCATTACAACCTGTGCATCACAAAGAAACAAATGAATTTGAATTTGGTGAAGCAAACGACGTTCACAGACGAGAACATTCCAGAAATGTTTCGTGGAATATTCTCGTCGAGTGACGGTGTGCGATGCGAATGCGATTTTGTAAACCCGGTGTTAAAGATGAATTCGTACCCTCGCGCCACAGAACCACGTGCTGCTTACTATCGACTACAACAAGGAAAGGAAACGAAGTAGTTCTTAATTTTACAAATTTTAAATATAGAGATAAATCGCAACTTGGAACCTGTGGTGGCCTAATGGTTTGACCTACCGTGTGACGTATAAATGGGTTGTCGATGACGATGGCGTTGGTGCAACTTGAACTAATCTTTTGTTTTATAGTTACACTACTAAAAGCTAATGGCGTTTTGTTTTGTAGTTACACCACGAAAGGAGCCTCCTAGGGCGTACTCATATTCCCTGTACGTCTAGCGTACCCTGGGCAACAAACAGCGAGAACCTTACGCCGATTGGCAAATCCTTTCTCCAGCAGTTCTGGGATGCAAGTCAATGCCAACTACATGATAAGAAACCTCCTAAAACCGATTACGTTGGTATGGCCATGTAATGTGTAGGGATGACCACTAAATGATCAAGAAAATCTCGACACATGAAACTGAAACCGCCAAAAGATGGTCAGACAGAACCTAGATCACTTGTAGTGGAACCGTCAAAAGATATATAAAGACGAGGACCAGAGACCGAGCTCAAAAGAAATGGGATATAAAACCAGGATAAAAAAGACGAAGAAGACTGGAATTAACTACGGTGTGATCGGTAAATTTAACGTATTGTCAATATGAAATGAACTTTTGAGGACATTACCTGGAACGATGAGATTCAAATCTATAAAAAAGTCTTTTTTGTTTTTTAATTTCTCCACGTCGTACAAAAGCCATTGTCAGTAATCTTACATAGGACAAAACAGAAAGCTCTTTTTCTAGCCCATATCTTTGTAATCAATTATCAACAAAAGATCTATTAAATACGTCTTTTAATTCACTTTCACTTTTCTTTATTAACTGTGCTGCCTTGTATCTATTTTATTTAGTTTTTGTAACTTGCATTACACGGCTTTCGTAAGAAGTTTCTTTGAAAAATAACTCGGTTATCTTCTTGTGAATCGGCCAGCATTGTTTCGTGGGTTCGTTGTTGGGATTCTTTGTCCTGGATGGTATCCTCGCAGTTCTTTCACTGTTGTGAATTATTTTTCTCAAACATGCTCGGAAATGTCAGATTTTCTTTTGAACAAAGAACATGTAAAGATGGTGATTTTTGCCACACTACAATATTAAAAACAAATTGTTTTCAGCATTGACTTACAATTATATGGACGTCGGGTACGCGCTAAAAAGTGTCCGAACTTATAGGGCGTTCTTCACGCTTTAGTCTTCGTTTGTTCGACTGACAGCGAAGCAAGCAAAATTAGACAGTACTGCGATGACATTACAATTTAAATTCAACGTTTTAGCTTTTTCATATTCCTTTACATGTCACTACGTTTAAATAGGTTGACTTCCACTGACGTCCATTTATTTGTAAGTCAATGGTTTTCAGGCATATTCTGGGAAATGCGTATGAAAATCTCATTTAAACAGCTACGTTAACTTTTAAATATTTGACCGTTATTGCACAACAACGAAATAACTAAATCAAAATGCCATACAGCCAAGTCGTCTGCTCGGTTTTTCAGCGCAGCGCGTGTTTGCTTCTTTAAAAAAATACTTAAGCAATGTTGCTACATTTAGAAGCTTTTCCGTTTAGAAACTTATTTTTGTAAACATATTTATATGATTTCTATGCATTTATTGAGTAACAAATATTGTCTAACGAAACTCGTGCTTGTTCGGCAATCTCTTACTACCCGGTCTCTGTAATAATGTACTATTTTCGGCCAAGTTATTAATCTCTAAGATACAAAACTTGCCCTTTTATTATACCTAATGTACTCTAACAAAAATATAGAAGTAGTACACGTTGGCTAATTAGTATAGACAACGGTTCGTTTATTTAGTGATATACTATCGAAATGACCCAATTGGTTGAATGTTCCTGTTATCATAGTTACTAAGAATTCTGTGTTGAGAAGGGTAAATACAATTGTTGATCACTTTTAATAAAATGCCGACGCAGTAATCTTGTTGTAGGTATAGTAAATGAATAAGATATGAAGCAATGAAAGGAAAAATAAAAATATAAGATGGAGATTATTAAATTGCATCTTTTTACAGAAATTCCTAAGAGCTTCGCTAAGTAAAACGGGACCTGAAGTTACGTTAGAAACAAATGAAGACCATATTTCAAAAAGGACCCTTTCAGAAGTAAGTGTAAGTAAGTTCCAAAGTCGGTGTATCATGATGTGATGGAACAAATAAGTAGGCCTCGTGGTAAGCTTTAAAATATTAAGATCTCAGGGGCAATGGAACTGCGTCAATCATCGTGAGACATAAACTTGATAAGTCCTATGTGCTTGTATCACCAGCATCTTTCAAAACTGGAACGCAGTAATGCTTAAATTACAGCTTAGCGGCGGAAAATTATGATGGCAATACTTCCATGGACAAATCATTTCATTACTTTATTAAAGCTTGATTAATCCAACATGACCCAACCGATAAACAAGGTTACAAGATATTCAATCCGATTTACATGGATAATTATAATAATTGATATTATATATCCATTATCTGTTATGTTTATTTACACGTTATTGTTTGGTGTAATGAACTTAAATATGTTATAAGGAAATGACAATGTAGACTACGCCAGGTTTTTCTTTGATATAACCTCAACTTTTGAATTAATCTTTCAGCAACTAGCTACAACATTTAGGGCCCTCCGCCAATTCAAATAGCAATTGCAAATGCAATTTAACTGTCGCACTGAAGAAAATTTCATTTCGATTATTTCTGCAGTTTTTTAAGCGAACCGTGTGACTGAGTCCTCTGTACGTGTACAGGTTTCGCGCCTAGGTAAAGACTGGTTTTTTTTGTAGTAACCGCAATACATAGAGACTTACAAATAATTTTTGTATGTACTATTTAATGTTTTCAAAAAATACAAAAAATATTAACTACTCATCAGGCCATATTGGTCTTGATTTATGTACGATAGGTTTCCTAAGGTCCAATAAAATTATCTTTACTAAGTTAAGTGGGTATGTTTCATACTCTGTGCTCCAAGTTGCTCTTTCGCCTAATTTCGTTAAATCTCAATATCTGCGAATATTTTTGTAATAGCTAGCAATCTAATCAGAACAGTTATCTAATCGATCATAATTCCTACTGTATTAACGATCCGAGAATTATGACTCTTTGTATTACATTGTCTGATAAAATTTATTATAAACATTAAATCGTCATACGTATACGAATTAACACGTTTCTAAAGCACCGACCGATAAGATATCTAACAACCACAATCTTAACAAGAAAAAAACAAGAACACGTATTAAGGAGTTTTCTGTTGGTCGCGGAAAGACTCTGAGGAAAAAGAAGGACCAGTAAAGCGTTAAGATGGCAACTGGAGAGTGCAAAACACACTGGAGATCGAAGATTCAGTAAGCGAACCCAATAATATCATCGAAATAATCACGAGTACTCTAGAAATGCTATGAGACTACCCTGACTTGGCACGTGGAGTGAATTTCTGAAGATCGCACGGTAATAACGTTTCTGGGGAGCCGGTGGATCGCTGACCAATTAATTACACAGAAAAGATTAGGTGGAAAAGGTTCTCTATGAAGTCTAAGCTGTGAAATGACAGGGAAAGCTCATAAAAGACATATGGCGTCTTCTAGTAGCGGTGGTCAAGATCTGCTACGCCAAGATGCGTGAAAAAGACGTATTGAAAACTACTATATGGCAGGTTATGGCCAAACGTTACATGATACCGAAATAAAGGTGTGAGGATTTAATTTTATGTCTCTAATAGATTAGGTACTTGGACAAAGGTATAAGATAGATTATATATTAGAAAAATTTTCGCATCGATGACAAAAGTGACAAGATGAAAGCTCTACATTTCATATTTAATTTAGCAATTAAAAATGTGTTAGTTTCTTGCCATTTCATGCATGGCCATGGAATAACGCGTAGTAGTGGTGGTAAATTGGGATTATGGTTTTGTGTCCTTTGATATTCAAAAGGAGTTAGTTCTACATTCTGTTTTGAACAAAACATAAATTTACGTACAAATTCATTGCCTAATAAATCCTAATAATTTAATAATAAGTGTGAAAAATTAATTACTATCTAATGCGGTTAATTAAGTACATTTTATCGCGGAGCAGTGCCAGATGCTCATAAATTTAAAGAGTGTCCATTTCCGTACGGAAAAAACGAAGAAACTTTCTCGGATAATTAAGCCAACATTTTTATCGATTTAGTACCTAAAGATGTCAGGTGTACAAATTCTAAGAAATCACGGTTTTCTAAGCACAAAAACTGTTTATAAAGCTGGTTCAATATTGCGATCTTGGTAATAGAATATACACAAAACCTGTTACAGAACATAAATATATAACCAATACATTAAGAGAAAACACTTCCAAGGTCGCCAAGAAACAAACAGACACACACGCACAAATATTGCAGTAGAAAAACGGACGGGTATGAACGCGTAATTTAACAAATTAATCTTTGAGTGGCACGTCCGTTCTCGGCGGCGGCTGTACGCGAACTGATCGAATTTCGAACGCAACGTACAATAGTGCGGGAAAAGGGGAGATATGAAGTTGATATCGAGAATTAGCTGGGAGTGATACGAGCACATGAAAGATTACGTCGAAAGTTCATTGGCTTACAGCTGCAATAATCATTACTTAAAATATTTACTTAACATTCAGTAATGTTAAAACAGTGAATTTTATTTTAATCGAATGCTAGTATTAATTAACAATGAAAACAGTTTTGTCAATTCAACATGCAAAATTGTTAGAAAGAACAAAAAAGGCAATACAAATCCCAAGAGTGTTCAAATGTGATTAGGCAGATCGGGTGACACAAATTAGTGTCGAACTGAAGTTTGTACCATTAGTGTAATAAGACCGCATCCGCAAAATGACAACTTTTCATAAGAAAAGTTGAAAGATTCTACACACGAAAATTTTTTGTGGTTAAAAAATAGGTGACTTAAATTCATTTCGTCGGCTAAATTTTAAACCACGTTACTCCGTTTTTGGACATCACTTTTTTGCTCTTTTAGGGAAATATCGGGCAAATAAAGCTTAAAACATAATTTGTAGACCCTTTTATGGTCATATAATAAAGTTATAATCATTTCTAGTAATTCTGTTTTTGTGCATAACCAAACGGTCACATTAATGGATGTTACGAGGTTTACGAATTTAACATAATTCGTAGTATTTTTATGACATTCTTGTGATAAAAGCATTTTTGACGCATTATCATACCAAGACTATGAATTACAAGTGCCAGTTACTCCATCACACAGCACTCCAGCACAAAAGAGCAGCAAAAAATACTAATCACACGTTTCAGTGCCCCGCTCTAGGGTTTTCCAATCGCGTTAACTGGGGTGGCACCCCCGGCCCGCGTACCGCTACTCACCCCCGCGACACCCTCACCCTTACATGCGCAGTTGTGCAAGTTCTTGTAAACACAGTACAGGGGTTGGGGGTCGCTACGTGAATCATCGTAGGGTTAGAAAAAAATTTAAACGAAGAACTAATTGGAAATTAGTGTCAGCCGTGAGCATAAGTTCTGTAAAAAGCTCGATACTTTGACGTTTCTGCCGCTGTTAGTTGAAAGGGCGCTTGTGGACTCAAAAACTCAAAACAGAGAAAAAAATATTCAAAATTAAATAAAATAATCTCAGTACAACTCAAAAGTACGTGGAATTACGTCTATTTGCTAAGTTTTATTGAAATATCCCCTAGTTTGCCACTACGATAATAAAAATCGGTACTCACTACTAAAAGTATATTGAAAAAAAAAAACTCCTTGAATTGAAGAAATAGCAAAATCAACCATTAAAATAATTGCTCCTAAATTAAAGTTAGGCGCTATTTATAAAAATGAATCTTCATGCGTGAACAGCCACCCTTAAAGGTGGATGATTTTCTTCAAAATGAAATGGTACCACTATGGAAGTACCTCCTTTCCAACAAAAAAAGAATCATGAAAAACGGTTTACAAATACCGGAGTTATCGTGTAACATACATACAAAAAAAAGATAAAAAAAGAACATACAGTCGAATTGAGAACCTCCTCTTTTTTTGAAGTCGGTTAAAAAATATGTGCTTTTCTCTTGCGGCGACTTCATACCTTATCCATCTAGGAAAAAAAAAAACAAAAAGAGTCACAGATCGGCCTTTTTTTATTGATCACGGCAGTATTCACAACAAATTTTTTTGAAAAATTTCACATGCGTTCTTTAAAAGCACGGAGGCAGTTTTGCTCGCATTGCCTTGGATCGCTAGCAGATTTCTTTAAGAGACCTTTCCTCGCCTTTTGTATAATTAATATTTCTTTTGTATTTGGTGCAACAGAGAATGTCACTATACTCAACCCATTGTACGTCCCACTGCTGGGCACAGGTTATCTCAAAAGACAGTGATGGTTGGGAACTAGACAATTCAAAGGTTCTTCGACATGCAGGTTTTATCACAAAGTTTTTCTTCACCGTTAACGAAACTCTGAGAGTTATTGCTACCAAACATTCATACTGCCGCCGTTAGTTAAAAGGGCACACGTAACATTTGTTCAAAAATTTAGTTATGAATGCTGCTGTGATCAGTAAAAAGGGCCCATCTGCCAATGTTTTTATTTTTTCCTAAGTAGATAAGGTATGAAGTTTTCGCAACAGTACACATTTTTCGACAGTCTTTTTATATGTATGTTACGCGATAACTCAGGCATTTGTGAACCGATTTTGATGATGCTTTTTTGTTGGAAAGAGATTACCTCAGATGTGGTCCCATTTAAATTTGAAGAAAATATTCCACCTTTAAGGGAGGTAAAGTAGGGTATGAATGATTTTTGAGGTCGGTTTTTTTAGTACTCTGTACTGATATTTTTTCAAATATTATTTTCTCGGTTTTGTAATTGGTAAAATACAGGTGTAACTTACAAGTGATTAGATCTACAATTCTTACCCAAATCAGGCGTACAATGTCTTAAAATTACAATTCAATTAAAATTTATTACAACTTAAATGTCAAAAATTAAAATTATAATTAAGTTAGTTATACAATTGTCAAATATTTGATGTCTTTATATAAAATTCGTTAAGATTGGATAAAACTTTGTCAACCATTTTATTAAACAAGCTTTAAATTTATCACCAATCACCAATGTTTAAATACATTTCATTTACATTGGAAGTCTGTTATAAATTCTAATCGCTGTTACATAGGTGCTGCGGTCAAAGATCGTGCTGTTTATTTTAGGAAGGACAAGACGGTCCTTGTTTCTGACGTTAACGGAGTGTGCAAGAAGTTACTGCGATTACGTACAAAAAGACATATTTCCAAAATATATATTCCTGTTAAAGTCAGGAAACCCTTTTCTTTGTACAGACTTCTTAGTGAATAGTCACTGGGTTTAGTATAGATTATAAATTTTAAATTTTATAAATTTTTGCTACATACGCCCTTTCAACTAACAGCGGAAGCATAAATGTTCATAGCACAGAACTTAGTCATAGGTATATGCCGCCGTGGGGCTTCGAATCGTCAAACTCTCGATTCAGGAGCAACCGTTCTCCAACTGGTCTACCACCTCTACCAATATAATCAGATTTTGTACAAACGGTTCGGCTGATCTGACCTTGAAACTTTTGCACGTGATACGTTTACGATCCAGAAAAGGGACACGAATAAGGTATTTATTCCGGACACGAAAGAATTTAAATACAGACCTTTGTATATAACGTCGGGTTGTCTTACCCGCGTATTATGTATCAACGTTCTTTATATAAATCATGAAATTAAATTTAGAACTGCGAATTTAAATCAAGAATTTAGAATTAGAGAATGTAGAGAGAATGAATGAAATATTGATGTAATAAATTTATAAGCGAGAGTGAGCGGACATAATGGTCCAGGTCAACAGCACCCTTAACTGGCGAGCATTATAATGAAAACACTAATACGTGTTGATGAAGCGAAAGATGGGTATCAGCTCTAGTAGTGAAGTAAACGTATGTATAAATAATTAAAAGTTGATATTCATTGCCTTCTAAAAATTAGTAATGGAGTAGTCGAGAGCATGCTTCACTTTTAAATCTAGGAGATTTCGAGTTTGATTCCACTAAGGGATTCTGCTGAAATTTGAACATCCACAACGCACATTATATCAACGTAGTTTACCTAAGACTTAGCCACTCATGTTATTGTCTAAATAATTTTCTTAACAAGTACATCTCGTTTGTTCCTTGTGAAAAAGTTGATCCGGGAAGTGCTGCGTCCACCTATTTCTGCACTAATTTAAGCAATTGCTGCGTTCCGGTTTTGACGGGTAAGGGGTGCTTATGAAACTAGAAGCACATGGGACTTGTCAGTTTTATATCACAGAGTAACGGGCAGTGTCCGTTAGATCTTTGCAGAGCTTTAGCTACGTATGGCACTGCAACACCAAGCGTATAACTTCGTCTCGTCACTTGATATCGTAATAAAAAACTATAGGCGTTTTAAAGGTACAGATATCAGACACCTTCTAGGTACGCATCTTACAATCTCGACTACAGAGTAACTTATATCATGCGAGACTCCGGCCGAATCCTGGCCTAGAAATAATTTAAACAATTTAAATCCGCATTAAAAACGTTACAGAAACGTGACATTGATACAAGAACCTTAATAAAATGAACTAAGGTTACAAATATTTCATCATTCGCTTGTAAGTAGTAGTATAATGTGCAGTAAAACTGGCTGGTATTTCTATCATACGGACCTAGGGCTAAATGGTTTTTTCTTTATTTCCACGCTCCCGTTGCACGCTAGGAGCGCGAACAAACAGCCAACTAGGCTACCGCCTCCGCCGGGCGCGAAATGCCACGACCCCAAAAAGCAGCAGGTTTTTTTATTTTATTTATTAAGACTAATGTAAGGCTTCTTCAATTTCGCACCCTTTACGGAACAATGGCATACGTGGAGTTACGTTAAACATGTTTATTGCTCCATACAGAAAATATAACCCACATCCTCTCCAATTCTTGTACTACAATATTAGTCGATAGATTTACAAGAATGGGAGAGGATGTGGGTTATATTTTTCTGTATCTGTTAGCGCAATAAACGTTTTTAACGTAACTCCACTTATGCCATTGTTTCACGAGTGGTGCGATTTATTCTTTTTATGATATACTTGTAAATTTTTATAAGATACCTAAATTGAATAGTACTTTATGCAATCGTTCCAGTAGGTACCATGTTTAGGCTATGAAGCTTTACCGAGTGGTCTAAGCAATAGGTACGGGATTGCTAGATTATGTAATGTTTGCATACGATATTTTTTCTACGAGTAAATTCAAATAATGAAACACAATCAATGTTTAAAAATTATTTGTTAACAATCCACGACAACAAACGCTTCAGAACAAAAAACCGAAGAAATAGGAAAGGTCCGTGATTGTCCAAGTACTTACCACTCATATTCTAACCAATCGGGAGGCAGTTTGAGTAGCGTCATATTTGATATTTTAATT